GGGCGGCGGGCGGCGGACGGGCGGGCGGGCGCGGGGCGGGGAGAGGGTGGGGAAAGCCGGCGCGGCTGCTCATTAGCATTTAAAGGCGCCCTGGGTTCTCCGTAAGGCTTTCCCCGGGCAGGCGGTCCCGGGGATGTGGCTCCTGGGCTAGATCGCAGAGGGGTATCTCCCTCCACAAGACATCTTTCATCTGAGCCTGCTTCTTGGAGAGGTGGAGTGGGGCAGTCACATGCCGCCTTAAGAAAAAAAAAAAAAAACCTCAATTACATTTGCGGACCCAGCAGCCACCCGAAACTATTCTGGGTCCTGCGATTAGAAACTATAATAACCCGGGCGCGGAGGCTGGCTCACCCCAGTTAAGACTTGTACTTTAACAGGTTGAGACAGGAACGTCACTGAGTTCGATCCTAGAGTGGGCTCCTGAGACTGTGCCTCAACTACCCTTTCTTGGAGAAACAACACAGAAACAAGGGACTGGAGATGTAGCTCAGGGGATCCAGTGCTTGTCTAGTAGGCACAGAACCCTGGGTCTAGAAGTGGAACAATTCGAGGTTATCATCTGGAAAAGAAGCTTTAGGGCTACATGAGACTCTCCAGACAGGTGCATGCACGCGTGTGAAAACCCCTCTCCCAACAAAACAAAACTGCAATGAAATTTTAAGGCCCCATTAACGACTCCACAAATGAAGAAAATCCGAATCTAGACCTTATAGAATTACCGCAAATGCGAGGTTTACACCAGTTAGAAGCAACAGATGATAATAGGCAGTTAGTATGTATTAACCTTCTTTGAAACAGTGGAATTAATCCACATCATGCCTTTTGTTCCAATGGTTGTAATTAGCTTTAAACTGGTGAAATCTTGAGCAATTGAGAGCAGGGCCTGCAAGATGGCTTAGCAGGTGAAGGCTTGTAAAGGCTTGTGCCGGAGCCTGACCACCTTTGTTCCATCCCAGGACCTACCTGGTGGAAGGAGAAAAACTCCCTCCTCCCGATCTCCACAACTGTGCTGTGGTAACAGCATGCTGCCCTGACCCCTCATTAATGGGAAAAAAAAATGTTGCTTTTGTTGTTGTTTGTTTGTTTGAGACAAGGTTGCTCTGTGTTATTTCTGGCTGTCTTTGAACACCCTCTGGAAGGCCAGCCTAGCCTCTGAGAGCTCCTCCTACCCTGCCTCCCCAGTGCTGAGAATAAAGGCATAAACCACTATGCCCAGCTTGAAAAACCATTTTTAAGGCAAAAATGAATACACAGACAAAACCAAGAGTCCTCCCGGACAGCTCAACCATAAGCATTCCAGTCACACACTACCCTTTACAGAGTGATGCTGAACACAGGACCAAAAGACTGAGACCCATAGCGAGGACCATCTGGAATACAGAGCCATTTGGCCCCTATAGCTCACAATGGTGCCTCCCCTTAGTAACCAAATAATTATAGAAAAATCCCTCAGTGCCCTGGAGTTGCTAACCTTTGTGAGAATTTCCCAAAGGCGCTGTGACTAGAGAATGAGTTATCATACACGATTTCAGTGTCTGGTCCAAAGTTTTCTTTTCAAATTCCCCATTTCCCCAAGTATTTACGCTCCTTTTTTCCCTGGAGCCTGTTGGTTGTGTCCGTGTGCCATCAAGATGGTGGCTCTCAAGCGGAACTCCTTACACTTCCACTGGTTTGCACAATCCCCAGTCTACACCTTGTACGTGGTAAATGTTTGCAAAATGAAAACAACAAAGACTAGATGGTTCCAAACTCATGTACTTATCAATGCAGTCATCAACGGAGTCCATCCATGACACATGCAATTTAAAAAAAAAATTAATTGTTAAGCCACGATGTGATGGTGCACGCCTTTAGTCTCTGTACCGAGGAGGCAGAGGCAGGCAGATCTCTGTGAGTTGGAGGCCAGCCCGGTCTACAGAGTGAGTTCCAGGACAGCCAGGCTGTCACACAGAAACTCTGTCTTGGAATAGACACACAAATCAACAAACAAAAAAACTAATTGTTGGGGAGGGAAGATGTCTCAGCAGGTAAGGGGACTTGCTAACACACATGATGATGACCTGAGTTCAACTCCCACCCACATGGTGGATGGAAGAACCAACTACAGGAAGCCATTCTTGGACTTCCAAACCTGTAGTGTGGCAAACAGGTCCCCATGTCACCCACTACACACACGCACACACACACACACACACACACACACACACACACACACGCGCGCACACACACATGCACTCACACATGCATGCACGCACACACATGCACACACACACACTAGGTAAAAATAATTAAAATATTAAAAAGTAAATAAAGATAAGTTCTAGACAGGGTTGTAATTTCAGTACTTGAGAGGTTGTAAGGAAGATCATAAATTCAAGGCCTGCTTGAGCTACATAACTAGATCCATCTTCCCAAATAAAAAATATTAATCTAAATAAATAAAAAACCTTAAAATGAAGAATATGGTTCAATTATCTTAGATTTAAGTCCTTAATGTTTAAACACTGCATGATCCATTTTGAAATCAAATGAAAATATGAATAACATGCCACACCTGGCAATTAAAACATATTTACTGTTAGAAAATTACTCCTAGCCTCTGGAAGACCCTGGAGGAACTTCAGATGTTCTTACTGGAACTTCCTAGAATTTGAGCTTGAATAATTCCCCTGAGTACCCATCATTTCATCCAATAAAAACAGCTGAGAGTTCTTCATCCTGAGCTAGATAAATTCAGAGAATGAATGAAAATAAACATGACCTATGCCATCTTAATAGTCTTAACTTGGAACCTCCTTAGCCACAAATGAACACAAAGACCCTCACTCCTCCACTCATGCTTGTACATACACACACATCCATGAAGCACTCCTGTGTGCTGGCAAAATAAAGCACTATAAAGAACAGATTTTGCTCAAGACTGCTCCCTCTGAGATCTTTACACGATATTCAAGTCTTTTTCCTAATATTTTTCAAACGGTTTTGTTTGTTTGAGATAGGGTTTTCCAGTGTGGTATAGGCTGGCCTGGAGCTCATGAAAGCCCTGCTGTCTCCGGCTCACGAGTGTTGAGTCTGTGGCATGAGTCATTGTACCTATCATTAATTGTTTCTCTTATAAGCATGCAATCGTTATTTCTTACATGTGAGATAACGTGGATGCAAAATCTCATTACTGACAGCCATTGTTTTAAAGACTGGCTATGTTGGTCCTGAGAACAATGCTACTCTATTCCTATTAAAAAGGAAGTCAGAGCATCCACGAGGCTTGAAAAGGCAGAGAGAAATTCAGAGCAGCTTCTCCCAAAGATCTTTGGTATTCCTCTCAAGTCATTCTGTCTCTGGGAAGCTCTTCTCCCTTCACAGCTATATCTAGGTTTTATGATACTTAAACCCAGTACAATTTAGAGCTCTTTCTTAAAAATAAATGAAGGGGTGCAAGATGGCTCAGCAGGCGAAGGTTTTTGCCACCACACTGGTGGCTGAAAGTCAGTTCCAGAGGCAGACATGATGAAGGAGAGAACCTACCCTCACCGATTATCCTCTGACCTCCATACTTCAGCATGTGTCCTGTGCTCAGTAATTTTATTTTAATTATAGCTCTGTGGTGGTTTGACGAGCATGTCCTCCCCACCGCATGGGCGCTGGCACTTGAGAAGTTGGTCCCCTGTTGTTGGTACTGTTTGGGGGACTTTTAGGTGTGACTTTGTGCGAGGAAGTGTGTCACTGGAGGTGAGCTGTGAGGTTCAAAAGCCTCTGACTCTTTCCAGTGTTCTCTTTGTTCCTGCTTGCCATTTGAGACATGAACTCTTGGTTGTTCCTGCCTGCTGTCTGGTGCCACAATTTCCTGCCACGATGGACCCTTATCCCTCTGGAACAATAAACCATGGTGTTTTATTATTCAACAGAAAAGTAGTTAATACAAGTTCTTACAGTAAATTTGCTAAGGTCATTCTAGAATCTTATGAAAAGGTCTCAAAGGACAGGAGCCCAGAAGTTCATTTCCTTCATGCACCAGCTCTCTCAGGTCTAGCAAAGTCTCAAAAAGTTCTTCTGGCAGCAGCTTGAAACTGCTTCTTGTTTGAGTATCTTCCTATAACTGGCTTTGGGCAACTATGGTTGCCTCCTCTTTTGCTTTCTAAACCTCTTGCTAACAGATTCCCATCTGGAAGTATGTAATAGAGAAAGATTCTAGGAAGTGTAATTTCTGCCTTTGAAGAGCCTCAGGGTGAGGCTGAGTTGATAGGAGACTATGCAACAAGTAATACCAAGGAAGGAACAAATGGTCCTAATTGACTATGGTGATTACATATGGTTTAAAAAAGCATCTACATTCAAGTAACTAAAACAGGAAAAGAGGGAAACGTAAACCTGACTGAGCTAAAATCACATAAAAGGGAAACAGATTGGTATCCTAAGGAAAAAGTCGAAAGTAAACATTTTCAGAGTGTCCCTAGCAATGCTGGGAGGAGGTGGGCCCTGATTATTCCATTCCATTCACATTAGCTAATATAACATTGCTTTCAGCATAGATGTTGATTGGTCCCATTAGGTGCTAAAGATGTCGCATAGAAGAAAACAAGGATGGCCCTTGTATTGGAGGAGATTATGGTTCAGATCAGCACTGCCCCAACTGAAATGTATATGGATCCCCAAATATTACGTGTGTGTGTGTATCACATATCATGCATACATATGTATTATATACACAATATACATGTTACATATGATACACATATATTACATACATATCACTATTATTATATACTTTATATCCTTAGAATGAATGTATGTGTGTCTTGATCATGGAATTGCTGTAGAACTGGGGACTTGCTTACAGTTTCTGAGGTTTAGTCCATTGTTGTGTAAGCAGGTGCTGGAGCGGTGGGGTGGCTGAGAGTGCTACATCCTGATCCACAGGCAGAGAGAGAGAGAGAGAGAGAGAGAGAGAGAGAGAGAGAGAGAGACAGGCCTGGCATGGACTTTGGAAATCCTCAAAGCCCACTCCTAGGGACATACTTCCTCTAATAAGGCCACAGCTCCTAATCCTCCTAATCCTTTCAAACATTTCCACTTCCTGCTGAGTAAGCATTCAAATATACGAGCCTATGGTGGGGGCATTCTTATTCAAACCATCACAATGTATATCTAAATCCCATTCTGTGGTCTGGGGAGACAGGGTTTCATTCCATAGTTTAGGCTGGTCTAAAGCTCACTATGTAGCCAGGCTGACCTCAAA